GAACACCATTCTTCACTTCAGAAGAATCATGTTAAACGTATCAACAAGTAGATTGAGGCCAAATAATTATTGTGGGAAAAATGTAAATGGTACAACAGAATGGTCGATTATAGCTGGCAAGAGCATGTGTGTGACACGTAGCAATAAAAGAATTTCCATATCAAGATAACAAATTGAACTGAAAATGTCTCTCACACGCAGCCAATCAAACTAAAAATAACGAAACATGAGCATATTGTTCATTTTACTCTTTTTTTCGATATCAAATCGTTATATTCATGACATTTAAATCGCATTAAATTTCATTAGTTTGAATTTTCATTCGCGTGCATAAGTGCATTGGATACGAATAGTGATTTGGCATTTTCCTTGAGAAAAGTAATTTTCCATTTTCCGTTTGGTTTGTGCATTTTACGTTGTACTTGTCAGATGATTTCATATTTTTTCATTCATTTTTGTCGTCTGCACGCGCTCTTTTTCTCGAGCGTGTAGAAAAATAACAAAAAGTGTGAACGATTTGAAAAACTGTCTGTTGCACACAGTTCCCAACAGGGAATGAACGAAACATATCCATTTTTGTTTAACGCGCTTCTATCGTATAGAGCATAAGCAAAATGAAACTCTGTAATGCGTTCGAAGTCTACCATAGTGTATGTGTTATAGACTGATGGGGTACATTGATAAGTGACTGAAAATCGATGTTCTAGGAAAGTGTTTTGTTTGTTCAGTCAAGTATTGTTTGGCAAAATGCTTGAAGCAAATACCGTCTGCCTCTTCCAACCGAATCGTTTAAGATCTTTTTCACTATTATTTACCAATATTTGTTTTCTTTGAGTGAGAATTTCAAATTCCTTAAACGTGACTCGAGGAACGTTGCTCGACAATGCAACATCGCAGCATTCAACGTCACTTTTTTTTTCGGTGCATGTAATAAAGAAAGTAAATTTCGGTTAGTACAATAATAAAGACACAATGGTGTTATTTTTTCCGCCAGGAAAACCCCCATAATTAGTTTAAAACCAACAATTTGTTCGATGCATTTACGACAAATCACATAATTGACAACCTCTTCCGACATTCATCACCGTAATTTTGGTAATTGACTTCATTATTGCAATCAAATATTCATTAAAGTTGCACCGTTACCTTTGTTCATCACTAATTGGATTACAACTTGTTGGTATGTTTAATCGAATTGTGGAGTTGTTCCAATGCGACGCAGTCGAAATTCACCTGAACCACTTCATAGGAATATGATGCGTGTGTCGCCGAAAAAGATATTGGTTCAATGCCTTTGGCGAAGACGAAAAAAAATCAAAAATGAACCCATCTCCATCGTTTAACCGTCTATTTGACCTTTTCTCTCTCTTATTTTCTTTATTTTTTTCTCTGCTTTGCTTTCACTTTCAACTCCTACTCTGTTATCGCTAATAAACTCAACATTCCCGTTTATTTACATGATGTTCAGTGTTTAGAGCGGTGTTTTCATAAGGGAACAAGGAATAACAACATTATTTGAATATGCACGCCGCTAGCAACTATAGTAAAAATCGCAATCTCTGAGTTCCATTCATTTTACAGCAAATGTGAATAACGCTGTGTGTTTTACACGAGTTTCATTTGAATTGGATGCATTTTAGAGAATATGTTTGACATTGCACCCGACACATCATTCAATTCGAGTCAAAGTCAAGACATTTTGGTTGTTTTTCATTCTAATTCAATTTGTTACCATATCATATTTGCATCGTCTTCATAAATGTACACGCTCAAAGAAACAGACGACTTATTAAATTTACATGAATCGGAGTAAATCGAGAGTGTGTGTGTGCGCAATGAAATTTCTATCTGAAAATGTACATCTTCAGATGTTTAACGTACTACCAACTGCTACTCACTATTAAACAACCAAATACAAAGCGGAAAAACTTGTAAAAACAAAATGCTTTTCCATTGGTTTAACGCACAAAATTGGAATGGAATTTTTTTTTTCTTCACAAAATTCAAATTTGCGCAGTCAACATGAACATTATTGTGTGCAACAAAAGTCATTTGAAGCATTTGGCATCGGGTCAAAATTCCAATTTTAATAAATCTTATGTAAGCTCATAAAACGCATTTGATTACATTTTCCGCTTTAAAGGTCAATTTTCACAGTTGACTCAAGAGCAAATGACTAAGAAACAGAAATGGTGAAGCCAGAAAATAGTTATCACGATTTGGGTATGTGCTTTGTCGTATTTATTACAAAATACACTTGTAAATATCTTGATTAATAAATAACGGACAAGAAATCATTTTTATGTGTGACGTTTCGGAGCACTATATATGCAATACAGTAATGACGATGGGTTCTTTGATAAAAATTCATAGTACGACTCAACTGTATCATAAAACAGCCTTTCAAGGCAAGAGTGTATAGTTTCTGCAAAAGGCGTTTTTATTTCAGTCATTTGAAGGCATAAAAGACATTTCGAAGGGAGCAACGAACGCATCATAATGAATATTTTGTGCAGATTGAAGACACCGAGAGATATAAATAATGCGTACAGTAAAACCTTTCGGCTTCGAATTGATAGTAGAATCACATGGTGCCAAGCAAAATTCACCATCTAGAAGTTCTAATTATAAAGAAGTTCGAATATTCTTAGGTTTTACTGTAATATATACTGAATACGCTGTCACACAATTACTGTGCTGTATTTCCGCAAACCTTCAGTACATAATAAAAATGAATCGGAGTAAATATGTGATAAGAACTTATGAAGAATGTATTCTATTTTTCCGTGACACTATCATTTTCATTTACATATTATATTTTTTGCTTATTTTGCAAAACTATAACATAGTTGTATTCACCAAAAGAGAGAATGATGAGAAACTATCAATCGGCGAACCAACCGGAGAAATGGCATCTATGTAAATGAGGTATGAAAATTTATATCACTGCATAATGAAAATAATTACAGTATAATTCTTGACAAATATCTCATTACACGAATCTGTTTACACTCGGTCAATCCAGTTTTTTCGGTAAATTGTTTCGGAAGCCTATTCGAAATCAAATGTTTGTACAATATAATTTTCACTGGTAACATTACATTGTAAATGAAACCACTCATTAATTACAGCAAGTCAGACAAACAAATAAAAAAAAAAGTCTAAAAAGGACAAAGCAGTTAATGAGTGGTAAATGAACAAATTAATGCCACCAGCTGTACATTTTTTTAATAAATTCATCCCAAATATTTGACAATTTATATTTTCATTGCATTCCGTTTTTTTTTTCGCAACAAAATTCCTATTTTAATGAATCACATTGTGTGTATTGCGAAATGACATTTATTGCAAACAGCCCGGCGGTGATAATTTTCATGTATTCATTTTTTTCAATAAATTTCCCTTTTTTCAATGTTGTTAGTTATGCATATTATCACAAAATTTCATTACATCTCAAAGTTGTAGAAATAGAGACGTTAAAGCAGAATTGAGTGAAATGAATTTTGTCAATGAAAAAGCTCCATGATTTTGCTCAAAAAATTTCCGCTCAATGCGAAGGGGAAGTGTGAGTGAGCTTTATCGAGTGAGCTTTTGAGCGTTTTTTCTCTTATGGTTGAATACAATGTATGTTTTTTCTGGGATTGTAAACAGAGTGTCTAATGTGATAATCGCTCTGTTGATCCATTTCCTGATGCTTTGAAACGTATATGTGTACGTTAACGATGGAAATTTAAATTCCAAGGAAATTCAAAGTCGGGAATATGAAAGGAGATTGAGGCGGGAGCACAGAGAACATAGCACATATTTATTCAGTTAGTTTATATAGCCAATAAAATTGAAATTTATTTTGTCACTGCGGAGCATTGGTTTGCCTCTTGAGAATTTGGGTTAATCGCAATTTGGTTGAAGTATGTTCGATAACAGCCGAATTTAGTCAACGAAAAACGATTGTGGGCCAATGTGTTTTTAAATGTTCCCTCTTTTATGTATTTGTACAGAGAATGAATATATTATTTAAAAAAAATCTGAATGCAAATTTGAAGATTAATTAAAAATGACGTGAAAAAATACGAATAATAAGTTTATAAATTATCGAAAAACAAAGATGAGAATGCCAAAGTGAAAATTGATTGTTGATTGTCATCCCGTCATCCTCGCTTCGGGGTTCTTCCAAACGGAGGAACACAGATGTTCTAAATATTCCTATAAAAAAATAAGAAGAATGTTTCGGCAACAGTATTTTTGCATTTCAGTTTGAAACAACTTGGTGGTAGCCACCAATCATTTTTATGGTCGAAACTATTTTGCACAAAGGAATTCGTGGCGAAAAATGCTCGGGATTTTTTTTTTGTTCTCGTTTCATTTTACAAAACTTGTAATGCGAAACCTTCAATCGTGGATAAAGATGAGATGTGGAAAAAGTTGAGTCAAGTTGATGATGATGACGGCAACAACAATAACAACAACAACAACGACGACGACGACGATGAAGAAGAAGACGATGACGGCGGCGGCGACAACAACACCAAAACCATTCATAAAAATGGATAGAAGTATAAGGTGGCATTTAAAAAAGGGCAACATCTAAATCGGTTTGGGAACAGTAAACCAAAGTAACGATACCGAAAAAAAAGACGAACGGCATTGTATACATATAACACACAGCAATCGCGCGCGTAGCATACAAATCCTCTATAACAGAATCATCCAAGTTCTGAAATACATTAAGCAAGCTCAGACGGGAGCGTACAATTCTGCAGCAGCAGCAGCAACAGTGGAGCAGCATACAGCCCAAGCTCAATGCTTGTATCCAAGTCTGTCGAATGTTGTGTCGTTCATTCAATTTCAGTTCACTGTTGACTGGTGTACTTCGCACATCTCACATTGTACGCTGGCCGTGTTCGAAGTTTTGAATTGAAACGAATCGAGAAAAAAGGAAAATAACGCAACCTCAAAGCCGTTGAAACGAATCTTTTGTAAATGAATTTGCTCTTTTGATTCGTTTATGCTATTATCGGATATAAGAAGAAGTGAATAAAAGTGGACGCACATGAATTTTGATCGTCACAAAGTTAACGTGTTTAAATTGATACCAAATAAATAAGTTACTGTGTTATTTGATATTGTGTTTGTGGGTGATCGCGTGCATCATTATTTATTCATGTAGCTTTTTAGTTCCTGTATCATCAACTGACCAACATCGAACACAAATGACGTTGTTAATTTGATTAAATTCGATGATAAGAAGTAATTCCATTTGCTTTTCGAAACTTTGAGGGCAAAATAATCACTTGTGCGTGCATTAATTGCAACCAAAAAGATAACAATCAAAGCGATTACTATTATTAAAACCATATTATATTCATTTTGAATCAATGCCATAAATACTATGTGTAGGGACAATCATCAATACATGTAATAGCATCGGATTTAATTAACATTAATTATCCAAGTGGAACATTCAAACAGAGCAAAGAGCATAGTTTTGTTGAAATTCATAGGCAACGAACACACACATTTACAGGGAAAACGTCGGGATCAAATTCGTACAACATTTTGAAGAGTTCCGAATTTGTGGTAAGTAGCCATTTTGTTCATTTATTTGATAATTAGCCGAGAAATGTTGTTTTTAATTCGTTGAAATGGATCCGAATTCAGTCAAAACAGTGTTTATGTACGAACAAGTGTTTTTATTACCATTTGATAGTTGATTCCAAGTGCTTTATTGTTTGTTGTATTCTTTTTCTAATTGGCCAGCATTTTTTCTCTTTCCCTATCGTTTTTGTGCTTGAAATTCAAACAAATAGAGCATTTATGAAACATAACATTTAAAAATGGGAAGTGTGTATATCTGTATCAAATGTAACCAGCAAAAAAAGCACCCACACATTCAACCTTTTTTATTGTGTCCCATTTTTTTTGTGTACCATAAAAGGATGATTTTTGTGCGGCCGCTTTGTATTTTAGCTTTGTTTTATCGTGGGTTTAGTTGGAAAAACAAACTTTTTTTTGTTTGTATCAGTTAAAATATACACGTTTTTTAATGATTTTTGCTCTTTTTCTCTTTTGGTGAAAAATGTGTGTGTGCGTAAACTGTGTATGAGTCACATACGGGGCTTACGCTTTTTTGTAAATTATAATTCGAAATCCAAGTAATTATTGTTTCGTAACATTCAATTTTGTTATAAATACGAGTTTTGCTCACGTTTTGATTTTTTTTACGAATGTAATTTTGATTTGAAATTCGTGCCAAATAAATGGAATGGAAAAAGGGGATTTGAAGTTCAAATGAATTACGGTGGTGTGGAAGCACAATACGAAAACATTAGAGCGAAAAAAATACAATTCTTCAGTTTATTTGTGTTACAAATGGAATGCTGCATTAAATGTTTGTTTATTACTAAGCCGAAATTTAGGTCCATCGTTGTTGAATCAATAATTAGTGAGAAATTTGCATCGAACAAAGAGCAGCAGATGTGTTGATTTCGACGTTAAATAAAAGTGACATACACACGGACGCACAATCATTTCATTGTCAATTGAAGGATAATCATAAGTGTCACTTGCCCGAAGTAAAAATCGAACCAACAAACGAAGAAAAAAGGAAAAGCAAAAAAAAAAAACAGAATCAAAAGAGAGAAAAAAACAAAAACCAACTCAAAAGGAAAAAAAAAACAAAGATAAAATGAAATACGAACAAATGAACAAACACTGACGTAATAATCGAATCGAGGAAAAACTAAATCAAATACAAACTCCTGAGCTTTATCCAATTCACATTGAGAATATGGAACTATCGTTTTTCACTCTCCTTTTTCGTTTTGTTTCACGTTCAGCAGAAGTAAAAGTTATTTGCGACGGAATAAATTGCGACTCTCTGTAATAATATGGTACACAATGTGATTGTATGTGTATAACGAATGCTCATAGCTAAAAATTGCTTTTTGGAATGATTGACCTTCTTTTTTATTCGTACATCTACTATTGCGGATCGTTTTGAAACATTGGAATTCACCTTTTGATTGTGGTACAACCAATAAAAATGCTTTTCTCGGAAGTGATGTAATTCAACTTTTGTATTTTGTTTCATGAACATCTGACGCGTGCGGGGAGCATGTGAACGATGGTTTTTCACATGTTGCTGTAAATAAAGTAACAATGGATCAATAAATAACGAGCATCCGTTTTCTTTCGTCCAATTCAATATTCACGTGAATTACTTGTCAAAGACTGTGCAATCCCAAATGTAATGAGCGAAAATTACTCGAGAAATTTCATTCATTTTTATGGTTAAATTGATTAAACGACAGCTTCAGCTACTGAACTGATTGGAGATGAGGAGAGTGGAGAGAAATCAGCTTTAAAATTAACGGAGATCTAATAAAAGAAACCAAAATTAATCACGAAAAGGTCGAATTTCATACTCCTTAGATCAGATAAATTATTATTATACGATTTGCATGAAATTTGCAAAAGAATTTTTTTCCACTGCAACCGAAAAAAAAACAGTGATAGATTAAAAAAGAGGGTATTTAATATTTGTATACAGAGTGCTGATCAGCGGCAGTAATAGTAGCAGTATCAGTATCCCCTGGAAAGGTATGCGACGATGTCGAGACATTGGCGGCTGTTGTATGACCTTGAAATTCATAAATAAATCAACAAGCCAATTATATCATTCACCTTTGCCAGATTTGTCGGGTCGTTTTGAATATCTAAAATGAAATATTTGCCTAATTTATGACTTTCTCGCTTCATCAACCGAAAAAAAAACGGATGAGCGAAATATTTATTGATTATGGCATTAATTCAATGCGGCACGCCTCGACTCGCACCAAATAAGCTTTTAAATATCGCAAATACCATCAAACATTTCTCCATCAAATATGCAAACTTTTTTATCAAACTGCCACACTCTCAAAAGAGCACAAACTAATTGAATTTCAGTATGCGTTCAGTTGATTTGATGACTTAGTGCTTAAGTTTCATGCATAAATATATTTAGTTGCAATTTCGAACACTATCTTATGCATATTATAATGCACTAAGTTTATGGGAGTTTCGAAGTTGAACATCAACTCGAAATTGATTATGAGCAAAGTTTTCGAACTAAGAAATCAAGCAATTAATAGAAACGAAGAGCATAAATTGTTGAAAAAGGGGAGGAGAAAAAACCTCCGAATAAACTTCAACTCCGTCGAGTTGGTATGTCTAAGCATGTTCAATTGAAAATGTGTGTGTGTGCGTGAAATTTCACGCAACATCTCGGCACAAGAGTTTTGTTCTTGGAAATTCGCATGGAATGCAAAATTGAGTAAGAAATACAGAAGAATTAAATCATGAAGTTGGCCATAAATTCTCGGCTTGGGTGGGTGAGCGGGTTGCGCCCAACAGTATCTTGATTTGGTTAGCAATGTTTGCTTGTTTGTGCTCAATGCTCGCGCGATGTGATAAATATTTACTTAAAAATCGATTAGCGTTCATGGGTAAAATAAACTCAAAATTTTGGATTTGAGACGCTTGCATGTTCATTTTATCATTTACACTGTCTCTGCACAGTGAAAAAGTTCATTTTGGTACTGTTCTCTAGGTATTTTATCGCACACGTAAGCAAAACGGTTTTTGTAACGAAATTCCATGTTTGATATGCATGATCCAAGTGATGGCGATGGGTTAATGCTCTTGTGACCATGAATGGTGTGTGTCGCAAAATGATTTCGGATATACGATTTCCCAGGCTCAATGCAAAACCCAAACAAAAATATCTTACTATGACTAAATGAATATGGGAGTAATAGAAAAGAAAAAAATGCCAATACACCTTCGTTTATTTATTGTCGGGCTTTGGCTCAAGGCACAGCCAATATAAAGAAAAAGCGAAAAAAAATGTCAGCAATATGAGAACGAATATAACAAAATGACATTGTTCAATTGTCGCATTCATATCAGGCACAAAATGAATTGACTGCACTCGGAGGATCGGACCGTATTGGGAATGAGTAATAACAAAGGAAATATCGAACCAACACATATACACGGGCGCACGAAAATAACACTAACCGCTCCTAATCGAGGTATCGTTTGGACCCTTTTCAATCGGATGAAAAGTGTTTGGCTTTCGGTTTTGTTTTGTATTTTTTCTTCTTTTTTTTTTGCCTTGCGCGCACATTCCTTTCGCATTTTGTTATAATTTTATTTTTCCTTTTCGTATTATTTGCACTAATATTATATTGTCTGTCGGCGCTCGTCTCACACTTAACCAATTCACTTCTGTTGTGTATTGTTGTTAATAATTTTGTGGCCAATGGTAATGACGGTGAATGGAAGTGTTTTTTTAGCCCCAAACAGTTGCATACCCACGTTCACATTCCAATATGAACAAAATTGGGCAAATTTAGAATTGGGCAAATTTTTCATTGTAATTCACTTTCATTTGATACGTGAACTGTGTACACGTACATTTCGCGTACCAAGTCAGTCGTCTCATCGTTCAGACAAGGTCTCGCTGCGCTCCAACAGCGAAGCATGATGAAGGTTTTTCTTGTTTCGAATTTATTTCTCTCTTATTATCATTCTTTTGTTGCTGATGCACGGCCAAAAGTCAGCTTATTTTAAGATTTCTCTCCTTTTTTCACCCATTCACTCCTTTTGCATTTCTATGCGGTCTATTCGTTTGTCAATGCAATAAAATGTGATTCGTTCATTGCCGTCGCCGTCGTCGTCGTCGGCGGCGACAACAGCTACAGCCAAACCAGCACCAATCTCGACTTCGGCAAATTCATAAATTTCCATTGAAGTCAATAACAAATAACGGTATTAAGTAAGCATTGTCGAAGGATGTGCGCCTGATGAGCAATGAACAACAAACGGGTGCAGAAAAATAAATGCGAGTGAAGCTCAAGTAAGCGCGACAATTGTATTTTGAAAATGCGTTTTCCTTTTGGCCACGAAATCACAGACGACACAAACAGATAGCTTCTCTCACTCCCGTCACCCCCTTTCGATCTTTCAAAATACGATTGCGTGCAGTGTCCCCGGTATACGGGCGACAAAAATGTCAAACAATTGAATTATGTTTTGTCTTACTATCTCATTTGCTTTTTTATGTCTTGCACGCGATCCATTTTTGTCGTTTTTCTCCTTTTCGATTTTATTCACAGTACAATTGTTGGTGCTGCAACCGGAGTTTTTGTTTTGTCGCATGATAAGAAATCCGATTCGCTTGAAAAGAGCAAAATGAAAACGAAATCACCATTGAATTGATATCAACGTGTGTCTAACATGCGTTGGAAGTGGCAACATTGACTTTATGAAATAAGATGTCATAAAGCAAAAATGCCAAAACCACATGAGAAATGAAATAAACAGCAACAAATCAGCAGGCATGCTGATTGCCTAAATGGAATGCACCACACTCCACATTCCACGTTCGACACTCCGTATATTCAATCTCTAATACTCACTCACAATCGGTTGAATAAACCATGTGTCGTGCGGTAACATTCGTTTCAAAAGAAAATGAAGACAAAACGAAAAACGAATGGCATCAGACGAAAGAGAACCGAAGTTATCATTTG